GGCCGGCGGCCGGCAAAATCAAATGAACCGGCGATTCGCGGTAGTTACACTTCAGGTCTGGGTCTGGTTTCTTTTTTGGTCTGTCTTAAACTTTAAAATTCAATTTATTGTTTCTCAAAAATATAAAGGTTCTGTTAATTAAGTATATAAAAAGCTTCTTCGATTGGATTCAGAGGCTATGACATTTTCTTGTTTTGGAGGAAGTTTTTTTTATTTCAGACACAAAAGATTATCCTTAAAAAAAAAATTAACTAGCTGAATAATTTACCAAAAAGAAACCCACATTTTCTATTTAAATATAGTTTCAACTGACAAATATTTCTACTTGAATTTACCTATAAAAATAGAATTTGGATTAATCCGTATGATGAAAGTGATAGACACATAAAGTCGTATACATCCATCACAACACTTGACACATGTATATTTTTTTATATAAAAGAGAATTTTATTCATAAACCAAAACGGCATACAAAGACTGACATATGTATGTTACTAGCTAAGAGAATGATATAAAATGTGAGTGTGCATCAACCTTCAAAGTCTAATGGACATTATCAGATGAAGATTAATAATTGTAGGTGAAAATGAGATTTCACATTGAAGCTGCAAATCCATTGGAAATTTTGAGGTTTGCTCCATACCACTTGCATCTTTGGAAATCTAAAAAGTAAAGTCTCTCATTAATTTTTAATATAGATCCAATCCACAATAAAATTGCTATTATAATGGGACTGTGGTAGCAATAAGAAAAAGGGATGGAATCTTATGATAAAAAAGGAACTAAAGTGAGAGGCATCATGGGGTACTTTGAAATTTGAATTACTTCTCTTTTGTTTGAATTCTATATCTAAAGAAGTAAAAAAAAAAAAAACTTATTTATAACGGGGATAACACTGGTTTGCTATTCAAGGCCAATAACACAATGATATGTGGAAAATTATCTTACGTGTGATTGCTTTATTGGCCGGTATAGCAAAAAAATATTATCCCCGTTACATGAGAGTTTCTCTCCTAAAGAAGAATAAAAGAAACCATCTTGGGCATGCCTTTTTGCACTGCAACAAATTAGATAATCCAAGAGGATTATAGAGTAAAACCGAAAAAGAAAAAAAAAACAGAGAGAGAGGACATGCAAATGAAAGTTAAACCCTAAACTTGAGCTTAGGGTTTACTTTGCCCAATGTCTGTGATGCAGGAAGCTGTCAATCCAAACTTGAGCTTTTACTTGTAAGTGGGTTCCTTGTAGTTTTTAAGTGTTTAAAAAGTAGCCTATATCCTTTCTGCAAACTTTGAAAGTAAAAGTAAGAATATAAATATAAATTTATAAGTCTTGCTGTGATGTAGTGGTACTCCTTTTTCTTGACCGGATTTTCCTCCATTTGGGAGTTTTTAAAGCCAAGGTTCTAATGAGGCCACACTTGTTACATTACTAAAGTCCAGTTTTCCCTTTGTAACTATGATATTGTTGTTTTAATGAAGTTATCTCACTTTGATAAAATAAAATATATAAAAAAAGTCTTGCACTTTGCAAACCGTTATTACATGTGCAGTTGTTCTTAAAGTTACCACTCCTTCCATGTTGGCGACAAAGCAGGAAATCCCTTTTCTCTTTTTTCCACACGTAGTAGAATCATAAACACACAGAGAAATAGCAGCACATCCCATCCATCTCCATCATTCATATCAATTTCAGATGCCAATCTCACAAGTCTTCTGCTTCCTCTGCTTTCTCATCTCCCTCTCCTTCACAGGTACTCTTTTTTTCACTCATAGAATCTGTGGTTTTCTAAAACTTAGATTGACAACATTTATACCTCTGTTGCAGATGGGACTCAACTCATTATAGTGAACAACTGCAAGGAGAGCATATGGCCGGGGATCCTTGGCACTGCAGGCTACCCAACTCCTCAATGCGGCGGCTTCCATCTCCACAGCGGGGAACAGCAAGTCCTTGACGTGTCCGAAAACTGGTCAGGAAGACTATGGGGCAGGCAAGGCTGCTGCTTTGATGAACAAACAGGCAAAGGCTCATGCCAAACAGGGGATTGCGCCGGGCTCTTACAATGCCGGGGACTTGGTGGAGTTCCTCCAGCCACACTAGTTGAAATGACACTTGGGACCTCCAAATCAGACTTGCATTACTATGATGTGAGTTTGGTTGATGGGTTCAACGTTCCGGTTTCGATGAGGCCAATAGGTGGTGGGATGGGGTGTGGGGTTGCTGCTTGTGAGGCTGACTTGAATGTTTGCTGCCCATCTGCATTGGTGGTGATGAAACAAGGGAAGGTTATAGGCTGCAAGAGCGCTTGTTTGGCTGCAAATTCAGACAGGTATTGCTGCAGAGGGGAGTTTGCAGATCCAAAGAGTTGCAAGCCAACTGTTTTTGGTCATCTTTTTAAGGCTATTTGTCCCAGGGCTTATAGTTATGCCTTTGATGATTCTACAGGGCTCAAGACTTGTAAAGCTCCTCGCTATGTCATTACATTTTGTCCTCCTAACTATGGATGATCTATTTGCGCAGAGACCATGCCCAAAGCAAAATGCTGGGTAGTTTGGTGGGTGCTCTTGTATTGTTGGCAACTTGGCACTAAAGTTTGGTGCTATGTATCACTTGGTCTTTTGGTATAATGGTTCCAGTTTTTCTCTTTTTTCCACTGTTTTTTTGGGGTTGCAGTTTCTTTCCAGTTTAATTCAAAGATTCAATTAAAGAAAAAAAGTAAACTCAAAAGTTATACAAGCCTAGTGTTTTATGGAAAAATAACAGGTCCTGTTGCCCCTCATTGAGCCTCAATTACAGCCTTTGGGAGGAGAGATTAAGCCCAAGAATAATTCTTAATGCCCTTTCAGGCAGGAGGAATGATAAGCAATTGGAGCTTCAAAACCCCAATTAGTTTGGCCTCAAACATAACAAATTTGCCATGAAATTTTCTTTCCTTCCAACATATCTGCCCAAAATATCAAGAAAATCAGCCTGGAAAAGCATTAAATTTCATGCAACAGCAGCATGGCATAATAAATCTGGAAATAGAATCTCAGCTTGCTGCTTTTTGGGGGAAAAAAGTTACTTAATTAGAAAAATAATCAATGCCATACATCAAAAAAATTTATGGAGGACTCCACCTAGTAACATTTGTACAGTCACGACCACAAATTCTACCACCGCCTTGCTTTTTACACCCTTAAAACTTGTACACTAAATTTATCTCCTCTGCAGGGGCCTCAGGTGCGTTCACCGTCTGAGCCGCGACTACTCTAAGGTATATCCTCAAACTAACAATGTACAGTTTTAAGTACAACCAACAATCTTTATTTTCATTGCGCCTTATCCATCTCAATACATAGACTTTACTAGACATGAAAGAAAGAGAGGGGCTCATATTATCCTCAGTTAGCTGTACAACTTCATTCTCGTGACCCATCTAAGCAGCAGATGCATGCGGAGCCAGAATGCTAATCCTCCTCTCTGCAAAAGATTGAGCACCTTGTTAGCTAATTGGGACAGTCGGGATTCAAATGTCTGTAGCATAAAAGCCGAAGACTTAGGGAATGGCATTACATATTATGCTAGAAAATTATATTGTTCATTCTTCAGCATGTCAATGAGAAACAACAATCAACTTCTTGCATTGGGGGAAAACCCAAAAGATGATTCATAAGTATTTTCGTGTATCATGTGTTAAAGCATCACTATGAGATGTAGGATTGATATCAAATGTCATTTCTATTCCAAATGCTATTTCATGAAAGTCAAGATATTCTGAGGCAAATAGTGAATCCTACACTGAATAGGAAACAAACTTGTCTACTTCAACACCTAAATGACAATAAATATGTACAGGTATGGTTTTTAGAGTTTGGTATTAAATTTTTTTTTTTTTTTAAACAAAAGGTTTCTATAAAGTTTGGATGTGTCATAAATTCTTTGTCTCTTATTAGTGTTTAGTAGAGCACTTTTACTTAAGGCACCCTAATATCAATCCTTCAGGTGCACATTGGTGTTTAATCAATTGATAAACATACTGTAATATGAATCTCAGGAAAATTTAGAGAATCAACGATCTGCAAGTGATGCGCTAATTTATGTATAAGCAAAGGTAAAGAAAAGAAAAGGAGACCAAGAAAAAAGACAAAAGGAGAAAGTGAGGGAAAAAGTACCTCCGGCAGCAACAAGTTTCTCTACACGTGCAACTATATGCTTCCCATAAGTATACTTCTTCAGAGCATTCAGATGAACCTTAATTCGGTTAAGGATTAGTTCAAGTTGCTGATCGTCACAAGTTTCCAGCACTTTCTGTACAACATAGTTTGCAAACTGGTCCTTCATCATTGCCTAAATTCAAACCAAAAAAAATCAGAAACTATACTAAAATTGACATAGTATGAGACTATGCATATACACCCGTTTACAAAACCAAAGCCTGGCAAATCATTTTCCCAGAACCACATAGTATTCAAAAGATTTCACAATAACAAAGAGAAGAAGCTTAATGCTCTAAAAAGTTGTGTGCAAACCAGTCAGCCACTCCATTCATTTTAAAAGTAGTCAATGTTAACCAAAAAGAGATGGGTGCTAAAACAACTCAATCTTTGAATAGTCATACTATCATTTTTGTACTTTTATTATATACTAGGGCTACAATTCAAATACTTTGGCTAGACAGCTAGATCCAAAAGTAAATGATTGGGATGAGGCCAATCGTCACTGAGAATGTTAGATATAATAGTTATAACTTTTATCTGCCATATGATATAACACACATGATAGCTATTGATCAGAGAACTAAAGATAATAGCTGGAAGAAAGCCCAACGAGTTCACTAGTATTCCAATGAATTCACAAGGTCATTTTAAGAAACCACCATTTCAGGTAACCGCATAATCATAAATAGTAAACATAAGAGCTTGAAAATTGTATAGAAATGTTACTTCACAATGTAACAGTATTATCATAAAAGCACCAAAAGTTAGAGACGATTGCATGTTCAGGAAACCCATTCTTAAGATGCAAACTTGGCCAAGGTATATTTGAAGATTGCAAGTTGAGACAAGAAAAGAGTTAAAGAATAAATAAAAAAAAGGAAAGATATACAACAATAAAAGAATACATTCACCAATGCACACTGAAATTTAGAGAGACAAAATGCACATAGATCAGTAGCAAACCTGAAGGGGCTCGTTTTCATCAGTGGTACCGAGCATCTCAGTTACAAGGGCCTGGCGTTCAGCAAGAGTTCCAAAACTTAAACACTTCTCTATGACATTTGACGCAAATTTTTGCTGGCTCATTTGAACAATCTGGCCAGTTAGTTCCTCAATGATAGCTGATCGTTCATGTGGTTTTCCATGTTCCAGCACATGCTGTAAAATTAATCACAATCAATTAACAACTGAGTCCAATGTAAAAGAAGAATAAAACAGGCATTTTAGTATATACAGCATGACAGGGGCTATATATGATTATCCCCAAACTAAACAATTTATAATCACCACATTGGTTCTGTTGTAGTTACAGCCTATTTGTTTTTACAGTTAAGAGTTAGTTAATTAATGCAAACCTACTCTGAAATGTAAAGAAAGTAAAATTGGGGCAAAATCAGAGACAGGCAGGTCTACCATATAAAGCTAAAAAATTACATCACAAAACAATTAGGTATGGGTGCATCAACTCATCCAATACGCCAAGTAAGGTGTATAAACAGAACTCAAAGCAAAGAAATATGAAAACACTAAATTGGTAGGGAGAGGGGAGTGGAGCTGAAATCATATTATTCATCAGTTCCATTCAATCCCTCCATTTAATAGACAACTAACCGTCCCGTTATAAGTATGAAACTTAAAGTTCATGAATGGATTTAAGTGAAGTCGCAAATGCATGAAGAGGCAAAAAAAATTGGGCTTAAGATAAGACCTGGATGCCTTGAGAGAAATCAAATTGAACCTTTATACTACATTAAATAAGTACCAAGTTAGCATCTCACGAAGAAACCTAGTAGATTAAGTGAAGGTCCATTTGATACTTAAACAACTGATTGTATCTAACCACGGTGGGATTATTTTCTTTGACAATAAGAAACTGGAGTGAAAAAAGTCTCAGAAATGCGACAAACCTGTACAACATAATTTCCATATTGGTCCTGTGCCAAAATGCAAACAGACTGCAGAATCTCATCCATCATTATTTGCTGCGTTTGGGGGTCATGGCAGTGCTCCAAGACTCTCTGTTACATCAAAGTTATTATACCATTCAGAATCGCAACAGTTGCATTGATAATGATTCATCTTCAACCTATCCAACTGATATGATTAGTAGATGCGCAAACATGAACATGTTTCAGAAAATGGAGCGGTTCTTAACCTGTATGACACGACAACCATATGGATGAGTTGACAGTGTCACGACTTGATCATAAAAAGTTGAAACAACAAACTGGATGGCATCTTCAGGTACACATTCAATACACTTCTGGACGACATGGTTCCCATTTTGATCACGAACACAACGCATAACATGGCCATCCAGTTCAGCTACCATTTGAGTCTGCTGGTCCAGCTCAACAACTTCTATAGCCTGAACAGTAAAATGGAAACACATGAAAACCGAGTTCAATGCAATATGATGGATAATGGTGTACAATTTCATATACATTTTCCCCGAAAAACTACGGAAAAAAAATCTGTATAATTATGGAAGTAATGTTTTTCTTTCAACTTATACGATTTATATCTATTAAGCCGTATTCCACTTCCCTGGAAGTACAAGAGCAATGAGTTCAACCATTGTGACTCATGAAATTCAAACTTGAGAAAATAATTTTCCCAAAGTAAAACCCAAAAGTTTTGTTTCTCACAAATAATTTCTAAGAAGACCCCCAAACATATTAGATAACATAATTAGCCGGTCTCCCATAACACATTATGATACAAAAATGTAGAAGGTAACACTCCGGCTTTTGTAGGAAAGCCAGAAAGTAAAACTGCAGGAAATATCAATATAACAGGTTACTGTCAGAACTTTGGTCAACTAACTGAACATACCTTCTGGATCACTCGACAGCCATACATTTGAAGGCTAAGGGTCAGCACATGCCCAGTGAGCTGGTCAGCAAGTTCTCTTATTTGTGATGCAGTTCCATGCTCAAAAAACTGAACTCAAAGTGAAAAATTCAGTCATAGGGAAGAAATATTCCACATTTTTTTATCAACCGCTTAACCAAAACATATTATGAACATGCTAATACAAAAGAACACATGGAATTGGCACATAAAGGCAAATCAATCTAAACGGGAAAAAGTACCTTCTGAATCACATAATTACCAAACACATCGGTCATTAGAGAAAGGGCTTGGGGCATTATTTCATCAAAGACCATGTTCTTTTCTTCGGCTGTGGCAGTTTCAAGTTTCTGTTGAATAAACCGACTTCCATACTGGTCGGCACTGTTCAAGGCAATATGAGTGACTTAATCCCTGGAGATCTGGATAGGTAAAAGGCACAAGTTTTTAAAGAAACAGCAACAAATATATACCTGAACTCAACAACATGCCCTGCAATCTCTGAAAGTTCAAAACATTTAGTCTTGTTGCTTTTGAACTCATCTAGTAAAGTGGAAGGAAAATTTTCATCAAAATTTCCACCAGTTTCAGAGTGCCAAGCTCCCATGAGACCTCCACCCATGTTCCTCATCCCAGAAGAAAAACGCAAGTTCCGATCACTGTGCCTGGCAGGACTACCCGGTCCAACAGGAGAGTTTGGAAGAAGGGGAGCACCCAATGCTGTTCCAGAATAAGACATGCCAACCCCATATGCTGGATTTCCATAGTAACCATGATTCAAGCTACCAGACTTACCAATGTAGGGAACACCAAATTGTGATTTTTGAGGCGAAAGCAATTGCCCCAGATAAGCTTTTTGCAAACCCAGTAAATCCATATACATATTACCCATGCCTTCCCTATCTTTTGTGGGGTCATTCAAGGCTGCAACCTGGGCAGCAGCATATTCGTTTGATCTCAAGTACTGAAGATACAATGGGTCCATCATGGGCACCTGAACAGCACCCCCAGCAGTGTGATTTCCAAGCCTGTTCATATTCTGCAATTCAGCGGCTGCTGCCAACAAATTTGGTCCTAGAGACATACCTCCTCCAAATGCTCCAGAGTCCAAGCCACCCATTGCAGATACAGCAGCAGCATTTTCAAATAAGGGTGGTAAACTACCATTACCAAGTGGATTTCCCATCATGGATGGAGACGAAGGACTAACAGAATACCCACCTAAGCCATAGTTAGGAAAGGAGGTACTGTCTACATTCTGATACTGGGAGAATGAGCTTCCTCGGCCATTAAGAGCTGGCACAGGTCCCCTTAAGTATGAGTTAGCAGATGCAGCGGGATTATTTATTTCAACTGGTTCATCAGACATATATGAAGGGTGGTTCAGATCCCTCCCAAATCCACTGCCTCTTCCCATATTCTGATAAGAGTTTTTAGAAGATTGGGAAACAGAATGCAAATGAAAATTCCCAGAATCAGGCTTATTCAAATACGAATTTTGTTTCATATGGCTCCGATCACCTTGAATATCAAAAAGGTTATGGTGATTATCAATTTCATGTTGAATTTGTGAACGTGCATGATTCTCTTCCTCAATCCTGCCATTTGCCGACAGGTTCATACCAGTTAAAGCAGCTGCTAGATCTGCAGACTCATTCACATTGGGTGAGGCACCATTGAATGAGTTTTGACCATTGGCAATTTTTTTATCCATGGAGGAAGCCCTTCCTCCACCAACAGGTGGAATCCGAGGACTAGGAGCCCTAGCTATAAGCTGAGGGTCTGGGGTCGTGCTTCTCGACAATGAAGCACCCAAAGCAGAAGCATATGTATGAGAACCCGATGAGCCGACGTTCTGGACAGCAGACATTCCCTGCTTATTTCCACCAGAACGCAAAGCATCTATAGATGCCAAATCACGATGCAGATGAGCAAACTGGGTTTCTGAAGTTTCAACACCATCATCAAATGCATTCCGGCTAGCTGGACGAGAAGGGTGCCTTGAGACATTTGTATTATGTATATCATCCTGCATTGAAATACCAAACGTTTTACACAGCAGCTTTGTGCCAAAAAAGAAATACAAACTCAATTTATTTTACAAAAATTGTAGCAGACAATCAAACTTGACCAGGAAGGAAGTATACAACAAAAAGACCATAAGAGCAGATCTACCAACAAACCAAAATAAGTGAAGGTTTAAATCAACTCTAATCATGAAAAACACAAGTAAAAATAACCAGAAAATGTAATAAAATGTAATTTATATATAGTTATAACTTGTAACCACATTCACATTCTACATGCTAATGTAAAGTTTCAAATGTGCATCTATATATGCAAGACAAAGTGTAGAGAGAGGAGCAAACATCAATCACCTAAACTAGATCCAAATACCTCAAGCATTCCACATAAGCAGCAACAGTTTCCATTCCAATTAAGTTTGCATTCTACTGGTGAGACATTTATGCGAAGAATGAAAACTATACTTAAGAAGCAAGATTATAGCATGACTGAAAAACCAATTCCACTTTTCAATATCAATGTCAACAGCATATAGGCTAATAATTTACGAAAACTGAGCTAGTGTAAGACGAACTAGTTCAATTCCTCATCCAATGAGCACCTCCATCTCATGGAATTATTCAGCTGACAATTGAGAGAAACCACTGTCAAAGGCACTAATTCATGGACTCCTTCCACTTCATGGGGATAACCAAAAGGTGCACCCTGCTTAGAGGAGCTGAACCAGATATCAAGTAAATCATCTAATGAATGAACATAAAGACTTGGACCATGTAAAACACATAAATTAGAGATGAAAAATAATCACTTGAAACCAGTAGGCATAAACTTATCACACTACCATTACAAATAGAAATACTTACAGGAATGCATCTAATTTTTCCAATAGCAAACAACATTCAAGATAAAAAGTTTATTATATACACCAGTTAAAGCAACAAACTTCACTAACACTTCACCTGAATGATCTCTGCAATACTCTTCTGCCTACTCCCAAGTCCCAACCCCGGCAACCCAATCAACCCATCACCGCCCCACTCCGCCGGAGCCTTCCTCCCCGCCACCCCATTCTCCTCCTTCCCTCCAACCCCTGGCTGCACCGAGAAAAGTGACCTGTTCACATCCCCACCTTCGCCACCACTCCTACCGCCTATCCTCCTATCTCCAATGCCTCCAACAGCCGAACCTCCACCTCCACCTCCACCTCCACCTCCACCGCCCCCTCCTTGGAACCGCTGCGCAAAACGCCAGTCCTCCTTTGAAAGCAGCGGCGGCGGAAGCCGCGGATTGAGATTCACATTTGAATAGTAGTAATTCACATAAGCTGGATCCGCACGAAGCTCCTCTTCGGTAGCAAAGCCTTTGCTGCCGTTTTTCGTGAAACCCGACAGCGCCGAGTCCTCGAACAAGCCCCCAACCGCGTTTAACGAGCCTTCGACTGTGGGTGGGGCCGACCCACTTCTGTACAGATTGAGCTCGTTCTCTCGCTCACTTGCTTCGTGTTGACGCCTCTGTTCGCGAATCAACATACTCAAATCTTCGCCGTTCTTCAACATGGAACGCATTGACATCTCGGACATCATCTTCGAATAAGTATCGGTGACCATGTCATATATCACAATAAAAAATCATCAAAATATTGAATATAAACAGTGAAACTGAAGAAAAATCAAAACTTTCAGCTTGGGTTTAGCTTAAAACTGCTAAAAACCAAATGGGATTGTTCCTAAAGCTTCGGGTAAAACGATTTTTCTGATAAAAAACTACGAACCCATATCTCAAAATTTTGCACTGAAAGTAAAAAGATTGGTTCTTTTTAACGCCAAGTATGGATTATATACTCAGTAAGACGAGGATCGGATTGTGCTGAGATGATCAAATATGGATTCAGCCATTTTTACAAAGAGAGAAAGGCAAGAGGGAGGGAGACAGTGAAGTGAGAAAGAGGGCAATGATAAGCACAAGCAGTGGGAAATTCTGAGCCGTAGGATATCAGAAGTGACGGTCAGGATATGTTCATACAAAGATGTCTTTTAGGGTTCTATTTCATCGTTTAACTTCTGCGCTGCTACCTGTTTGTATTGGATTACAAAATAATTATAATTTAATTCAAAGGTTTTTTATTTCTTTGATTATTTTTTTTGGTCAAGGTTTTTTATTTCTTTGCTTTGATTGGATTGATTTCAAGGTTTTAATACGCACGTTATTTATTTATTTTTGTGTTGGTGTCTTGTATTTGGATGTCTTGTATTTGGAAGGAAATGTCAAATCTGCAGTAGAGATTGTGCTAGACTTATACGGATGTATAAATCATATCATAAATTCTCTTTGGACCCAAAAAAAGAATAAATCAGTATTATGCATTTAATTTCGTTTTTTTTTAGGAATGATAATACGTATCTTCATCGTTATGGAAATCTATTTATTGTGAGAATTAGGTTTTCAGAAGAAAAAAAAATTGAAAAATAAGATGTGGGAATCAATATATGTTACACTTTTTTACAAATATATATTATGTTATGCTTTTCAATATTTAAAAAGTCATCAAGGGATTTTCTTTAAAGATTTTGTCAAGAATTTGAAAGTCATTTTAAATAAGAACAAAAAATAAAGGAAGGTAATTGTGATTAGATCCAAAAGGAAAGTCAATATCAACTTTCTATGTGGATTAAATTGATAGGTCATTCTCTATAATGTGTTGGGATGCTGGTTAATATCCACATGGTACTAAAAACAATGAGTAAGGTGAAGAATTTACCAAACATATAGTTTCCAAATCATAATTTTGATCTTATAAAAAAAAAATCATAATTTTGATGTAATTAATATATTGGAATTTAAAACTGAAATTTATGAATCTGGTGGTTTTTAGGTTATGATCTTTACAAAAACCTAGAACTGCAAAAGACAAGATGTTGAATGTCACATAAAAGATCGGATTGGTTGGTATCCGTAAGTTTAAACTTGGCGTCGATTTAGTACATGTGACACTTTTAAAAGTATATAAATTTTTTCACACTTTGTGATTGTGCCCAACATATATACACTTTGTCTCACACGCTTAAACTCGGCGCTTCTCATATCAAATTAATATATATAATAGTGTATTTAAATTGCAGAAAAGAAGATCCTTTCACGTTTCTAACCGCACTTAACATATATGTGGACAATTTTATCTCACACACTTATACTCGACATGTATTAAATCAAATTATTACATTTTACATATTTAAAATGTCGAAAATAAAATTCGTTGACACTTTATAACTGCGCCTAAAATTTAGACACTTTTATCGCACACTAAACAACAAACATAACAACATATTTGACACAATCCATAGCTTGTGTAAAACATGTGGTGTCGATGGAACACAATTATACAACTTACATCTGGCTTGGAATTTGTGTAGAAAGCTGAAAATAAGTACATGCGTTTGATGCTAAGTTTAATCTAGTTGATTTTTGATAAGCACTACAATACTACGCGTAGAGACAATATTGAAATTCAAGGCTACGTACAGGGAGAGAGAAGAGGACTATAAGCAGTAACTTCTTCCTCTGATCCTGCAAAAGTTTAACCTAATTTTAGTACACAGAAACAAAAGAGCATGTAATTACAATGATTGGGTACAAAATAGTTTCACTTAAAATAATAACAAATATTGCAAAAGACCCACTAATGTAGCGGTTTGGAGTAATTGCTCCTCCATACGAGGTTTTGGGTTCGAGTTGTAGGCTCGTAACATCCATGTAGTGTGTGTGGGTTTAATATATTATCGCTTCTCTCAACAGGAAATGTCCACAAAAAAAAAGTTGATGGAGATTTTTTTAATGGTGCATTTAAGCTTGGGGCTTACCTTACCAAACCATCTCAACCACAGTAATGAGGCAAGTACTTGTTCTGAAATGAATGAAACTGTTTGGCACATTCATAATGGTGGGTAAGATTTTAGTTAGGCAACAAATTAATAATAATAACATTGATTATTTGGTGAGGAAAACTAATAGCCATCAAGAGATAAAGGCACCAATCACCCAAAGCTTGTATATAAGCTTCCCCAAGAACTCTTCAATTATACACACACTACTACACTAGTACTTGATTGGCTTAAAACTTGTGCTAAGCTAGTTTTAGACAACCATTTTAACAAAAAACATCGAAAGATTGTTATTCGAAATCCCATCGATGTCACTCTAATAGTCATTTTGATGCCTTAGAATTAGAATGTTTATTTTTTTTGTTACACTTTAAGAAGATTGAGTCATGAACGTATTCTAAATGTAACTCATTAGCTCACCATCCCTCACAACTTCAACCAACCCTAAATAAAATCGATCTCGACTTGCCCCGGTTGAATATAAAAAATAAACTAAACTTTAGCATCAATAAAATTTATAATAGAATGATGATTAGCTTATTAAAACTTTGGCTAATACTGCCACCCACTATAAATAAAAGCTAACAGAATAAACTCCAGTGAATGCGGCTGAAACCAGCTACCACACAGAGACCCCAAACCACGGGCAAAGAAGATGCCTTTTCTTTTTGCTTCTTTTAATATAATACAGAAAGCAAAGCATGTATTTATATAATGGTGTCAATGTTAGTTTTGTGATTATGTCAGCCGCAATTTGTTTACAATTTGTTTACATATTTTGCAGAAACCAGTGGATAACGATGATTTTGCAGACATGTGCTGTGTGGTCGCTCAGTCACGTGACTTGTCTTTGCCTTGCTTCTACATGAATCATTAATATGCAGTCCACGTGCGTTGTTATCAAATAAAACTATTAATCTGGACGGACCCTAAGTTTGGCTAACCTGGGCTATAGATAGCCCAGCGGCTTCTTTTATTCTAGCCCAAAAAAAAAATCCTAACTCACTCAATTTAAATAATCTAGTCTCATTAAACAGTACGTAGTCAATAAAAAGATAAGAATAAAAAGAACTCACACACAACACAACATGTAGAGAAAAAAGAACTCACATACAGCACGTAGAAAAAAGAAAAGAAGAAGCACCTTGCACTTGCACATAGAGAAATAAAAAAGAACGCTCTTGTTGCTGCTGCACTCACCTTCAAAACCTAATTCAAGTGAACCAAGTTCATATATTCGTCATGTAAGCTTCTTTCAATTTGTTGATGTTTTAATTTGAGGAATTTTTTTGGAGTTTATGAAACTTATGAATTATAAATTAGGGATTTGCAATTGGGGCTTATTAGTTTCAATTTATGAATTATGAATTTTCAAATAGGATTTGTAATTGATTTTATTTTTCTTGCTTATTAAATAAGTGTTTTTTTATTTTTTGTTATCAATGAAATTACATGGTACTATTGAGTTTTCTATCTACTTAGTACCTTTGTAGGTAAGGTATATTTAACCCACCCCATTTTAAAATCCTGAGTCCGTCCCAAGAATCTTAATTGTGCTTAAGCATGCCCCCAAAAGAAAATTTTATGCATAAGAAGAAAAACTTAGTTTTTCTAATTTCCTTTTTGAAGGCCAAAGAGAAAAAGAAAATATCCCCTTTTATTTATGTTATCTTTCATTCCGATATTTCCGTGTCAACTCATCATATACAGATAATTTATATTTTAAACAAACAGAGGAACATTAAATCATAAAAATATAAATAAAATGAATAGATGAGAGGTGAGGCATAACCTCGAAATTTGGCAAGCACAATTCATGGCTGATGTGCATGTATGTTTCCCATAAATATATTATCCTTGTGGTAAATATATAGGGTTAGGTAAATCATTCTTTCGACTGTTGCTGCTGCTGCTGACTGTTAGGTTCGTTTTCCCTTCTCAACTGTTCTTTCTCGAACCGTAATTAAAAATAATCGAGCCGCCTGAGTCATGTTTGGGGATACCTTGAAAAACAAAAACAAAAAAAAAATTTCTTGAAAGTGTCAATAACGCAATTTTTATTATTTCGGTTTCAAGAACTATGATGAAATGGCACTGTTATCAACTTCTGCTATGTGATGAATTTGTCCACCATCATAACTATATTTAACACCTTGTGAATTATTTTGTTCTATTGTATGTCAGCTTTCCATTGTATCAACTTGCACACTTGCACCGTTTCGCGTCAGGAAAGATCATGCTCATACATACAGATACAGTAGGTCAAGTTGGATTGGGCTAAAAAAAGTTCCTCTTTCAAGGCCCGGCCTGTCTTTGTTAGGCTCAAGAATTTGAACCAATTGAACATTTCTTCTGCTAACCTGTGTTTGTGTTTTCATATTCAAACCAACCTTACCAAACCGGTAGCAGAAGTTTTCCGTGTCAATCTGTTAAAGCAAAATAAAATTAACCAGCGGTTTGTTTGGTAGAATTTGCGTATAAAGAATTAAACAGAAGCGTGTGGTATTACCGGAGAGGTTGAGAAACAAACACAGCAAGGCAGGATAGGAAAGCTGGAGAGATGTCAAATGGCTAGGTTTTCTAACCTACTTTGAATTCCTCTTGCAAGCTTTGCCAATGCCATGCATGTGACACCCAAAAAGTCACCACATCACATGCATGCAGCTTGTTTTTAGATTCATCAGTATCAGAGATTGCCCAAATCATTTTTAAAACTTCCGTGATTTTGAAAACTTGCAATTGAATTTTGCGGTGCTTGCCAATGTGAAAGATAAACAAATTCCCAAAAGATTGCTCACGATCAGAAAGGATATCGTAATCGAGTTGTTACTTGATTTTTAACCTTAAACTATTCATGAAAATCTTTAATTAATTTATTTATTTATTTATTTATTTTTAATCCACATCAATCATACCTAGTTTACGCAAAAAGGAAATTCGTACAATGTCATATTCTTATTGTCAATCCTTAATCTCCATAATGGGAAAGCAGAAACTCCATTGATCTATTAAGAACAAGGAAAAACATACCCATAAAGAACCATATATAGCAAAATCTAAAACGTGGCAAGACCCAATCAAAACCGAAATTTCCCAGAAATTTCCAAATCAGGCAGCCAGCCAACACTAAACAGATCACAAATTTTTTTTGCAAAACCTTATATAGGAAGATTTAATCGAACAACATGTTTG